AGAACGTGTTGGAAGGAAGAAGAAAAAGGCACAAATGAGGATGAGTGGGAGTTAACGTGGCCAAAATTGGCTCGAGTTAACTCCCATCTCCTGTTCATTGATCATAAACTATTTGTCGCACTCAGTATTTTGTGTGGGCAAATTCTTTCTAAGGAGGGAGCATGCTATAGCATTTTATGGACTGGCACAAGTACACATCAGTTCAATACACCACTTACGTTGTACAGTGTGCTAACTACTATTTTCCTGCATGGAAATATAGTTAACGACTGACTGTCATAGGGTATTTGGAAAAAATAGTTTTTATCTGCTTCTATGAATCATATGCCATTACCTGTATTTTTTTGTCTTTTTTCTACATGAAGCATGATCCCATTGCTATGCCAGTAACATAAGCCCAATCTTTGAAATTACTGGGGTGATATTGTTTCACCGGAGTTATAATCATATCTTTTCACTGTTCAAAGAATTTCTGCAGAGAATTAATTTCTGTTATTCACCAAATACCCTAAACAAAATAAATAAATAAATATGAATAAATAATAATAAATAAATTGAAAAAAAAAACTCCCAGGCAAATCATATAAATACTCTGGATCAATACCAGATAATGAATTTAGGGAAGAAAACATGCGGGTTAAGAGTGGAATTAGCATTAATAACAACTTTGATTCATGGGCAGTCAAAGTAGATAGTGAGTATTGGGCATTTTTAATATCAAGACTTTATTTGATTACCCCCACCCCCCACCCCCAAAAAAAGCAAGACCAGTTGCGTTACGCAGGACAATATCCCAAAGTTTGCTCTAATAATTTAAGAAATGACATCCCTGGGTTTCTGAAGTATACCCGAAAGTCCATGATTCGCCACGTTGGAGGCATTCAGATTGTAAATTCCCATTTTAAATACTGAATTTCACAATGCCAGAATCCAGCAAAACATTGGAAAAGCGTGCAGGAGCTGCACAAAACTACAGCAATGGCCTTGAACATAGCGAGGCCTATATTGGAGGCATTGCCAAAAGTGCAGCATGTAAGGAAGAGACCATAGACACTTCACTTCAAACTTAGTCTTAGACCAAAGGAAAAGGAAAAATATAAGAGATGAAAATGACATTATCGGTGGCATAGGTCCGTACTATAAATTTATTAGCTGACTGGAACGGGCTGCCAAGGATAACGTACCCATAGTTAGTAAATTATTTACCATTTACATGAAGCCCAAACCCAGCCGAAGATCTAAAGTGTTACAAAAGGAGTGATTAACATTTTACTAGTATCATAATTTCAGTAACAAAGCCAAAAATGTAGGATGTGATGCTAAAATTTGCATGGTGTTAGTTGTAGGCCTAGCTTGGCCCTTTTAACAGGTTGCTTCTTTCTTCTCTTCTGATTCAGTTCATGTTATCTAAAGAGAATATTCGAAAATGAGCTGAGACATCCTGATATTCTTCAAGAATCTGGTTCAGATGAGAGTGACAGATGTCGTCTTTCCTCACCTAATTATTGTCTATTCTCCTCGTTTTCGAATGATTTTCGGCAATTTATACAATTCTAATTGAGACTTGATTTTACCGATTATGACATCCATAAACACGGCAGTAATTCACTATTATTGCTTAATAAATCCACAATAATAAGAGAAGAAAGTGAAAATGATGGACACATGCGCTGTAAGCCGCCAATGTCTCCAATGCCTTACTGATGACGTCACGTGAAAGCATAACATATGATCCCGGACTTTCAAACGTTTAGGTGTTTCGTTATTTTCATAACGTTAAAAAATGTATTGAAGTGTTATCAAAATTCTGAAACTCCCCAAAACATGAGAGTGCTGGTGCCAAGTTGGTATTTCTGCAAATTAAATCACATTCCTACTTGAAAAGGCAAATTCAGATGTCGCATCTAAGTGCGCCAGACGTTCCTCAAATGCCCTGGAACACAGGATCGCGTCATCGAGCTCCACTCGGGTCGGGACTGAGAACTGCATTAGCCCTTCGGCTGCTACACAGAGGCGGGGAATATTTCCTTGAGACGCTCGTTTTCAGTCAAAATGAGTCTTAAAAACATGGACCTTATTAATGTTTAAATAACATATATCATAGATATGACAAATAAATATAACGAAAGGAAACACAGACTAACTAGCAAATAGAATTTCTTTCCAAAATGGTTCCATTTATTAAATGAGTTAAATAGTCTACATCGCTTTAATGCGATTTACTCTGGCTTCCGCGTCAACATTCTGTCGCACTTCACACGTGCATGTAAGGATCACAGGTATTCAAATGAAGATAGAACGTAGGAACACACAGCATTCGATAGTCATCATAGGACAAAGGAATGCAGATTTTTCTGGGTCAAAACTACCAAAACGATTTACGCAAATAAAAAGTATACAGGACAATATCTTTCAAAATTTTGTAATACACAAAAGGGGAAAAAATGTGATAACTATCCTACTTTCGCCTCTTTTCATTTCCTTATATTCCCCTCCCCAT